TCATCGGTGACAGCCAGGTGCAATGACTACCATCAGGAAAGAGCGAGCCCAGGTACTGTCTTCTTTGCCTATCTCCCAAAGACCAGGACGTAGTAGGATTATTCCATAAATACTGTAATCTACAACTGTTAGTAACAAGTACTTTGAACCCCCACCATCTTATCTAATAGTCATTAGGAATCAATGATGCAGTCAGTATCAGATACAAAGAAAACATAGCCTCTCCCAACAAGGTGCTTATGTAACCAACACCTGAGCCATGAAAAAACTAAATAGCAGAAACTTAGCAAGACAGCAGGTGAATAATGTTTAACCCTAGTAACTGCAACTATGAGAGGATATTTGATTGTATAACCTAGGATGTAACCATGGAGTAAATTATTTCTACTTAATTGAGGCATGAAGGAAAGAAAGGGCAGAGGCTTGCAGGTAATATTCAACTTGAACGTTATTCACTTCACACTGAACTCCATGCTGGTCTATAAAATACTCTGAACTTCAGCAAGGAGAAAACAACATTTCTGAGAAGGCTGACCAGGCGTATCCACACCTTGTGCCCTTGGGAGGAATGCCGCTCCTCTAGTATTTGCATGCATCTGTGGAAGGAGTAAGACAAATCACTAGACTTTTGTTGGAAAATATAGTTGTGAGGACTGATGATGTTAAGTTAGCAATTGTAGACAGGCCAAGAATTCCCTGCAGCCATCAGCCCTGACCAAGGGCTTCCTGCCCTGTGCCAGGCGTGTGTGCCTTCTTTCAGAGCCTGCCTCAGAGCCTCAACACACACTATTTTTTCCAACAGCATAAAAGAAGTCTTATTGTATCTCAGCTGGTATTGATAGATGTCTCAAGCAAGGAAGAGATAAAGGCCATTCAATTTCATCCTTCTTCAAAAATATTTTATCCAGAGCAGATCCTATATCTTTGCTACAGATAATATATTTAAGGCCACCTGGATTCCTCCTTTGAAAAGCAAGACCTGTGGAAATTCAAACACTCAAGTGTATTAATTTTAAATAATTAGTATCAAAAATAGAAGGATAAGCAGGGCCCTAAAATAGGTATTTGCTAACTGTACTTCCCCACTGTGATAGTTACTGTTTGGTCTTAGCCAGCAATAGATTTCAAACATGGGAAATTAATGAAATGCATTCCCTTGAGAATTACATGGAGAAGAGTGATTATAGACCTATTGAGTAATCTTTATTTCTCATTCATGATAAGGAATGGAACCTGCTTATCTCGAAGTTTATTTGGCCTGCTGGGACTAAATACCATCCCCTTCACCCCAGCCACCACTTTGTCCTATATGGCAGGACTCTGGGCTGGAGTTCAAGGTCTTTCACACTTTACTTGCTTATCTAAGAGTTCTACAAGTTGGGAGAGAGATGGAGTCAGTGTTGTGTGAAAATAGATGCCCTCAGAGAAAGGACACCCTTGTGCTGCTAATAGAACTGGTACCTGAAAATAGCCAAACCATCCTGAGGGTTAGCTGGAAGAAGGGTATCCCCCCAAATTGGCATCCTGTTTTACAAGACCCTTCGAACTTGCATTTCTACCCCCTCACTTCTTCCATATGTACCAGAGTCCTCCTGCCTCCAGTCTCTCCCAGTCTCTGCCTGGAGACAAACTTCCCGATCTTGCTCTCACCATGTCAGTCTCTGAAAAATCATTCAAGAAACAGAAGTCCAGACTTCTTGCTCAGGCTTTGAGGGTCAGCACATTCCAGCCCTACCTCATTCCCCTCTGCTCCTCAGCAGGCACCAAACTGGCCCCTGTGTGTTCACACACCCAGCCTGCCCTTTGCTCAAGCTCTGCCTGGAATACCTTCCCCATTCTGATTACTTACTTATAGTGGGTCCTAGGGAAACATTTTTTTCCAGTGAATGAATTCAAGACCTACCCATTTGCAAGGCTCAGTTCAAATTTTAGATTATATACAAATCCTTTCCTGATGACCACAGTCTGAAAGTATTACTCCATCCTCTGAATTTCAAGTATCATTTATATAATCAACAAGTTATATTTTGTACCTACTGTGGGGCAGATACCGAGGCTCAACCCAGATTAGACACTGTCCTGCCCTCAAAAAGCCCAGGGTGCAATGGGGAAAGTTATAAATACAACTACCAAACAACAGCATGGGTGCTGGAATATTGAAAAGAAAATGTTTTATTATTGTTATCCATATTTATTGAGCTCCTGCTAGGCTCCAAGCACCAGCCTAGGTACCTTTTACGAGTTCTCATTTAATCCTAAAGGTCCATTTTACAAAAAATAAAAAAGACTCTGAAAAGTTAAGTTGGTTTCCCATGGCTATTTGGGTAAGCAACAGAGCCTGAATTCAAACCCAGCTGAGTCTGGGCTCCTTCCACCATCTCCCCAGCCTCCCAGCCATGAGGGGTATGCTGTTAGGGATCATAAGCAGTTAGACTGGGAGGAGGAAGGCCTCCCAGACAAAAGCAACAGCACAGGTGTGTTCAGGAATGATGAATGGTTCAGAAAGGCCAGAGAGTAGGTGTGTGTTAAAGGAAGAAGGTCAGGTTAGACTGTGAAGCACCTTAAGCTCAATCCTTTGGATTGCAGAAGAGCTTCATGTCATGTGAGGCTTGCAGCCTCAGAAGCTGGAGGCTGTCTCAGACCAAGAGCAAAGCCTCGGTAGCTGCCATTGAGTAGGCTAGGGGCTATCTTTCCTACTTATCAAAACTCCTTGTCACTGCCTGGGTTCTTTCCTTCCCTGGGGCTATGCCTCTCACAAAGCTGTCTGATGATCACCAGAACAGTAATATTTAAGGTGTGCTAGGCACTATGTGCAGTCTCGCATCTAATCCTCATAACATTAGGAACGAGGTTCTATTATGCTCATTTGACCAATGAGGAAATAGAGACTTAGAGATTAAGAATATGCCTGCTCTAGAAGGCAGGTTTCCAATTTCAATACCCATGCCCTCAATCACTTCGCCATGATACCCACCAGGCAAAGAGATTAAGGAAATCTGGGCAGTCCCTCCTGAAGAGCCGAGGAAAGGAGTTACTGAGATCTGGAGGAAAACATGTCTAGCTCTAACTTGCTACTCTCATCAAATTCCTTTGCAACAGATATGAAAATCATTTAACCAAGACATGACCAGAGATGCCCATTCCCACATGATCAGACCCAGACCTCAGATGACCTGAGAGAGTATCAGAGTTCTGCAGCCTCTTCTCCCTAAGAGCAGCTTCTCAAAACCTCCTGATTCTATTCTTGCAGCTCCTGCCCTGCCACACTAACTTCCATTTATCCAAATATCTAAGCACCTACTCTATGTCAGGTGTTGTCCTCAGAGCTGGGATTATAGCAGGTACCACAAAGGACAATAACCCTGCTCTCTTAAAGCTAAACATCTGGCAAAGGGGGCAAATAAAAAGCAAACAAGATGATTTCTGATGATAAAGGCTATGAATGATGAAATATAGTGGTGGAATTGGGGGAGGCTGATTTAGGAAGCCCTTCTTGGGGAGGTAACATCTGAATTCATACCCAAATGACAAGGAGGAGGCAGCCTTGAAAACTCCAGGATCCACCTTATACTTGGTGGGCTGAAAAGGACATTAGTGATCAGCTAGTCTCAACTCTTTATTTACCAGTGAGTAAAGAGAAGCTCGATGAGGTGAAAAGACTGGGACAAGGTCTCCCCACTGACTGCAAGGCTGTTTCTTCCCACTTTTCCATGGAACCTTTGGATATACACATTTGAGTGTAAGCACCTTATGTTTGTGCTTTTAATCCCCTCAAACACACCATATTTGTAATTTTATTTTCAGTACAGCCTTGAGGAAAAGACGAGGGGCCTTCATTTGATAGATGATGAAATTGAGGCTCCAGTTGGCTAAGTGACTTGTCTAATGGTCTGTCACTAACAACTAAATCAAAATGCAGGTTCTTTGTACTCTAGTCCTGTGTCCTCTCCCCTGGATGGGAAGGAGCTGTCTAGCCAGTGGTCCATGAACATAAGACATCATTACTAGCAACTTCATGGGTAATGGTGCAAAGAACATACAAAAGAGTCAAAGATAAGAACAATTTACTTAGTCATAACACACAAACTCAAAGTCCCTGAGTTATTTGCTGTAGAAAAGAACATGTGACCAGGGAACTAGACAGCCATGTCCTGAGACAATCAGCCCCCATGACGTCTGAATACAGACTGCAAGCTCATCGGTGCAACACTGCAGGGACAGCTAAAGAGGACTGTTCTTGAGGAGCCAGCCCAGCCCTGAGCTGGTGTCTCCTGAGCTGAGCATGAAAGTCACATTTAAGTCCCTGGACTCTTCTGTTTAGGAAGTAAGCTACTAGTGCTTCCCAAACCTGCCTGCACACCAGAATCATCTGGGGGAATGTTAAAAAAACAAAGATTTTCAGAACAACACAAGACCCAAAGAATTAGAAACTCCAAAGTGTAGAGCCTGGAGATCTATGTTTTAAAATTCAGCCAGCCTAGAAATCCACTGGTTTTTCCTCACTTCTTAGTGCTATAACATGATGAAAAGAGGAGAGATGCCTGCTTTTATTATCCAGTGGGAAAGTTAAATTAGATTTTATCCCTTAAGGGCTGCTTCCAAAAGAAAATCTCTAATACCCAGAGCCCTGACCTAGTGGGAAGTTCCTGTGAGTATCTTCCTGGTGACCTGTGAAGTCTATTATCTCACTCTCCTTGGCTACACATCAAGCCCCCATGCAACCCTGGGAAAGCTTTTTCCGAGGCTCAGTTTACCAATGCCTTTGTAAAGCAGACCCTAACCTGTAGGGGTCGGAGCATCGCAAGCAGAAAGGATCTCAGAGTACAGACAATCCCTCACCCCACCACCACCACCAGTAGGCCCGGCTCCTTCCCCATGTGCCTCTCTTTGGCCCTGGACAGCCAGCTACTGCTTGGAAAAAGAAAAAGGAAAAGAAAGAAGGTGGTTCAGGCCCAGGTGGCCAGCACCCTCAGTCAGGGGGATGCAGAGACTCTCCTTACCTGGATCTAAGGGGAAGAGGAGCTGTTCCAGTCACTCGGGAATTTTCTCTCTGCTGGTGAGCTCTAGTCTTGGAACTCCGTGGACTTTGAACAAAGATTGATTTAAAAGCTGATGTATTTAACAGGGACTTGTGGTCTGAGTTCAAGTGACCTCTGTCCTGCTTTCTGCCAGCTGGGTGGGCCCTGAGCTGGGCAAACCTGAAAAACCCTCAGCAAACCCAATGCTCTGACCCACCTGCTTAACTGTGTGGGATGTCGCTGCTTGCCTGCTCCTCCCAGAGAAGAGGAGGGGAGAGAAGAGGGAAGGACAGCCAGGGAGGAGATGTCTTTGCCTTCCTCAGTTCTTTCACTTTGGCTAATACCTTGGTCACACCCAACCAACACCCAATGCGTTAAGAGCCTCCACTGTCCCCATCCCAAGGTCAGGGCTGAGGGTCATCACCCAAGCATCTTCATGTACTGAGGCCATCCTGGGGAGCAGTAACCTGTGCAACCCCCACCCTGTAGAAGGTCAGCAGGCCAATAAGCCCCAGTAAATGAAGCAAAGCTCCTCGTGTGCCCATCCTTCCTTTCCTCCACCCGGGAATTCTTCCTCGCATGCTTCCTAGGAGTTCAGCATAAAGCCCCTGCTCTGATTTCCCAGGCTCCCTTCCTCTTCTTACACACTCTCTCTTCTCTGTCTCTCTCTTTTTTCCTCTCTATCTAACTGAGGGTGCTCTGTTTCTATTCTCCAACCTACTGACAATTGTCTTCCCCTTCCACACACTCAGAGCCTCTCAGGCAAGCCCAGCGGGGAAGGTGGAATGCATTTCCACAAGCTCCTCGGCTGGCTGCCTCGGCAGTGCCCTGCTCCACCCCTCATCCCAGACAGGAGCAGCAGCTGATCCCTATCAGCAGCACCCACACAGGCAGACCTAGCCTTGGGCTTTTCACTGACCTGGATCCTCAGCCCACACTGGAAATCAGGGCAAGAGATTGCTCCAGGCAGTGAGGCAAAGAGACCACAGGCTGAGGACAGGGTGGCCTCACCTTCCTCCACCCACGCTGGAAGGGCCACTCGTCTTCGCTGGGCCTTGGCTCTCCCCAGCAAAGGCATGGCCCGAGCCAGAGGGTAAATGGTCAAAAGTGACAAACATCTGAGCAGCTAACCCAGATCAGGTCATCTCCACCTTAACACTATGTCCCTTGGGCCTCCTGTATGTCTTCTGAAGCAGAAGTGTAGAATGGGAAAACCTGGATTCAAGATCAGAATGCCTGACTCTGCCACTTCCAGGTGTTGCATCTAGAGTAATTTATTTTTAACTCTGAGTCTCACTTGCCTTCATCACCTATAAATAGTTGTTTTTTAGAAATTTTTTTATATTGAGTCAAAATATCTCTCACCTCTGCCTGTAAGTCCTAATGGTTCCCTCTGGAGCTGTTCTACAGAGCAGCCCTTCAAATATTTGAAGGCTGTTATATCCCCCATAAGTCTTCTTTTCTCTGGGATTCCATGAATGCCCCTCATTCCTTAACATGGTCTGCCTATGCCATGACTTCAAAACTTCTCAGCCTGGATGCCAGCCAATTGGTCAATGTCCGTCTTCAAATCAGGGGTCTAAAGGGGAAACTTTAAGGTGATGGAATTGTTCTATATCTTAAGTGTGGGAATGGCTATGCAATTGACTACAATTACCAAATTTCATCAAGCTATCACCTAAAATATGTGGATTATATTCCATGTAAATAATACCTTAATTTTTAAATTAAGGAGCCTGTCAGTAAATTTATTCTTGAAACTTCTAAAATAAAAAAATTTGGATGACAACAAAGTCAATCTTCATTCAAGAAGCTTCTCAGACTCACCCTTCATCCCAGCACAGATGGAACAAACAGCCACAAGCCTTCAGACTGGAAATAGAAGAGGCCCTAACATGCAGAGACAGTGTTCATTCAAAATTAAATAGAAATGAGCAATTTTTTTTTTTAAAAATGACAAAACCCTTTCCCAGTGAAATTGATACCAAACCTCTTAATCTCAAGTCCATGTGCCTGATATATAGTAAGCCAATCACGGAGACACCTGGTGCTTGGAGATAGAGAAAGGTTTATTCGAATTGGCCAAAATGAGAAGGCGAGAGGATAGGTTCTCTCATGGTTGCCAGAGGGGAGGGGGGAGGGAGGAGGATGAAAGGGATAATTCGGTGCATGTGTGTGGTGATGGGTTGTAATTAGTATTTTGGTGGTGAACATGATGTGGTCCATGCAGAAATAGAAGTACAATGATGTACACCTGAAATTTTTACAATGTTATAAACCAATGTTACTGCAATAAACAAAAATTAAAAGAAAAAAAAAAATTCACCTTCACAAGAGAAGAAAGCAGGGGGTTTTATAGAGCTAAGGGGCTTGGCAGGAGGAGTTTTGGAGAAACAAAGGGGTAACCCCAGGTTTCTTTCACTCCAGATAAGCCATTGGGCAATCTGACTTCTGGGCATCAATGGCGGCTGGGGGCTGTTTTTCTGGTGACTGTAACTTCCTTGAAGGCATTCTATTTCTTCTGTAAAACAAGCTCATAAATCCTTGTGACCCTTGAGTCACCCCTCAGGTTAAGCAAGAAAACAGCAACTTGACAAGACTAACTTCTTTTCATCTATGTCTGTGCTGGGAACTAGGTCGAAAGGTAATCCTGCCCTTATTGAATATTGATAGTAACCCTCAGGTACTGCGCTTCAGAATGTTGAACTGAATGAGATGAGCCCTCACTAAAATTTGGATTTTAAAAAATCTCATGCCTATAAGTAGATCTGCTCAGATTAATGCTAAGCAGAGTAACTCTTTTTGTTGATTACTTAGATCTAGACACTAGTGAGAAGGTAAAATGACATTATTTATTGTGTGCCTGGTAAACCTTTATATCTATTATTCTATTTAACCCTCAGCATGACCCGATGAGACGATATTCCCATTTTACAGATAAGAAAGCTTAATTCATGGGGGTAATTATCCTGCCCAAGATCACCTGGCTCAGAAGGATTAAGGACCCTGTCTGTCTCCTTAGGTAGTGTTGTTTTGCCTCTAGGATAGGCTTCCCACCAGCCAGGGAAAAAATGTGCTCTCCTTCCCTAGAGGTATTCAAGCAGAGGCTGGTGGTGTTCTGTGTCATGTTACAGAACGATGTCCTGCTTTGTGAGGGAGATTGGAGTAGGCAATTTCTTGGATCCCTTCCAATTCTAAGATTCTGTGATCCTAAATACCATCGGTCCTAAGACAACCCTCCCCATGAGAGTGTGTAGTATAAGTCCTGGGTGCATGTAGGTAAGAGTTATGAGCATGGGCTTTGGTATCAAACAGCTACTGAATCCTAAATCTGCCATCAATAAGTTTTGTATTTTTTTATTGTGAGCTCAAGTTTGTCTGGGCTTTGTCTATGGGAACCCTTGGCAGCCTGGGTGGAGGATTTTCTCTTGTTTTTGTCCGACAGCCCTTCTCCATATCCCTAGAATGACAAGGAGAGGCACTAAAAACTTGGGGCCAATTTGTGTTAGTTGCTTGCCTTGGTGTTTCCAGATCTTGCAAACAATTAATGTCAGTTACAACCTCAGCCCCCCTCCCCCTAAAAGCAGAGCTATGGTTGGGAATTTCCAGGAGAGATCTGTTTTTTTCTTCCCAGAGTCCAGGCCAAGATAGATAGTTTCCCTGTTACCCATGATCAGTTTTTCCCTGTTCTGTTTTTTCCATAAATATATCCCCCTTCATCTTACTTATATATTACGTTTATGGATTATTTTATGTCTCGCCCCCACCAGAATATAATTTCCCCAGGAACAGGCATGCCTATTTATTTTCTTGCTGTGTCCCAAATGCCTGGAATAGAAGCCTAGCTTATAGCAAGCTTTCAAAAAATGTTACTGAATGGATGAGTGAATAAATGAATCTCCTTTTGCCAGCAGGACTGGTTTTTACCCCACCTTTCACTGAGAATGTAGCCTTCAGAGAGTCTCAGCTCTATGCAGGGTATCAGTTCCTGGGTCTTACCTCCTGTGCCAAAGTGACCCTGCTTGGTTACCGGTTTTCAGCTTTCTCTTCACTTCTGGACCTGAGAAATTTCTTTCCTTTCTTTCAAGTTCAACTATCTATTTGAAAAAAATGTTTGATATATTTTACCTAGTATTTCTATGAACTATGTAGAGGGAGGGTTTTCAGATTATCTAGTCTGCCGTGTTTCCAGAAATAGTTCTGTCACTTAGCAGCTACTTTGCCTTTCAAAGCTCCAGTTTTTTCATCTGTAAAACACAGGTAATATAACAAGCTCAATATAACAAGGATTTCTTGGAGACTTAAGTAAGAAAACATTTGTAAATCACCCAGAACCTGGTAAATGCTCAGTATATAACATTGTTATTATTGTTTTTGCAAGTTATGCCCTCATAATTCATGGGCACACATTGTACAACAGAGTCATGGAAATAAACGGGCTAGAAGTATACAGTGGGCGACTCAGGAGTTCAGGATGTTTGAGGCATTGTGGATGGCATGCTTGCCCACTCACAACTCAGCGCTTTGTGAAACTGGTCAGAAACAGAAAACTAGAAAGACTTCCCAGTGCTTCCCAATACTTTCCCCTCCACGTCACAAAACAAATTGATAAGAGTTGTATAGTTCACTGGGGTAAATAGATGAGGCATTACAAGGCTAGGGTGACCTACCTAGGGCCAGCTGCCCCAAGCTCTGCCCAGACTCCCTAAAGATTGAGGGGATCAATATTTTGGCATATTCTTAGAAAACTATAAAACATCACTGAGAGCAACTAAAGAAAACTTAAGTAAATGAAGATTATACCATATTCATGGGTTGAATCTTCAACACTGTAAAGATGTTAATTCTCTCTAAACTGATCTACAGATGAATGCATTTCCAATCAAACTTCCCACAGGGTTTGTTTGTTTATTTGCTTGTTTGTTTGGTGGAACTTGACAAGCTAGTTCTGAAAAATTGGAATAAGGAAGCTGTAGTGGGTAATAAGACAGTAGAGTGATACTAATTACTACAACATGGCATGGACACAAGATAGACAAATGGACCAATAGAATAGACTAGAGAGCCCCAAACAGA